AGCAAAGCAAGACTTCATCCACCTTAGAAGGAGACAGAAGTACGGAAAGCGGTTTAATTGGCCCACCATGAAATGGTTTTTCGGTGGCCAATTACTGATAAAGAAACCGGCTTTCAAGAATGCGAGCCGTTGTGCTGTGGCATAGTGCTGTATTAATGCACAATGACCAAGGAGTTTAAGTTATATTTCCCAGTTTTCCCGGTCTAGGCTTACGGCCGACACCAGAATGACGGACATTTTATTCCTCGTCAGCATACACCGCCTGCTCGTAGTCCCAAGGCGAGACGGAATCCTCCGCGTCCTTCTCCGCAATCGGAACAGGTGGATGAGCATTGATTTCGTGTAGTTTGATGAAGTAGCCGAGAGCTTATGCAGAAAGTTTAACACGAAACATTTGCCTCTGCCTGCTTAATTGGCCAAATAACCTAGAGCTAATGCAGTGGCTAACTCCATCGGGAATTTCAGGAGGTTTTAATTGCCAAGGATTAAGTATGTGCGAGGGGAAGGGAAAACTGTGGGGAACTACCCACTGTACTTTTCGAAGACGGGGTTGTTTTGCAGATTTAATCGGCCCTTCCTCGGCAGGATGACATTCGCTGACCTGTACCGTCCCGAGGCGTCGGTACCGCGGAAACGTCAACACTGGCTCATTGTCCTATACATCCCACGCGTAATTCTTTAGTAAGAGGAAAAAGAGTTACGCGCAGAGAGTAGTCAGGTAGTAAAAAATACTCGAAACGATGGTAGATGGAATGCATACGGCTGCCAGTAAGGCAGGAGTGTTATAACGCTTAAGAATTCGTTAAACAACAGTTGGACTTTTCTTATCCCGCGCACATACTTAACCGTTGCCTCTCGATTTTCGCAGGCAGGTGCGAGCTCGAAATGTTATTAGGCTAAAATTCTGCACGGCCAAAAACACACGGGTTATCCTATGTGTCAGCCCCGAAAGAAACTCTGCAAAAGCTCAGGACCGCCAAATATTTCTTCAGACCTGTCATATATTCATGACGCATTTGGCAATGTAGTATTTCCTGTTACAAAGCAGGGTAGCACATGGGACTAAGTACCCCAATCCGTACTACAGGTGGCCTTGCCTCAGATTCCAGTGCAGTTAGGGTTAGCGTTAAGGTATTAGTTAGGTTCAACACAAGTGTTGGGTTTATGTTTGAAGTTAGTGTTAGAGTTTGAGTTAAATTGGGGTTAAGGCTAGGGTTAAAATTAGGTCTAAGGTTAAAACACTGAATAGATACCCCTCGTTGTATTTATCGCAAGGTCACCAGCATTACGACGGGGGGATACTTATTCCCCTGTCCTACGCAAAGTCGAATGACTATTTCTCAAACTATCAGGAATGCAAGAGGATGACCAATTGCAGACGCACCTCTGTTCCTCCAGTCCGTACGTAACTCGAAGTCTCCTAGGCTAATTCGGTATAGGAAGAACTTTTATTATTTCACATCCTATCAGAGTTAACAATTTTGGCTGAATTTTGCAATGTTACCTCCAAAAACCCCAAATAATCTGGCGAAACTGCGTTTCTCTTAACCGGACACTGTTACATTTCTGTTCACACCGACTCGGTTTTCAAACACCTTCGTAACAAAAAACCACTTTTCGTTTTTAGCACAAGACCGCTGCATCGTTTCGTCTTTCTTACTTGGGTGTGGGGCACACTTTCACATGCCGTCCTGGGATGAAATCCTTCTTCAGAACATGCATTTCGTAAAACCAATTTGCGAGCATTTGAAAAAAATCTCAATAAAAACGTAAGAACACACCTGAAAGGCCATCGTAACGTTGCCGAGTCTCGTGGTAGCTGAAATGTGTACAGGAGCGAAACGGAGATGAAGTTCAGGTCACAAGCGGTTTGCTTCATATTTCTATGAAATTCTCTACCAATATATACCAGTTTTCCGTATAATGAAAAATGTTCTTACTGTACTTTGGGATGCTGGTGTCGGGTTTTCTTTGATTTCAAGTAGACGCCGCTCGCTTGCGTAAACCGCAGACATCCCAAGATTGTGAATTCACTTGACATGTGAGTGTATAACTGACGTGAACGAAAAGCAAGCCTGATATTTGACAGCAGTCGAACCGTGAGTTCGAGTAGTACCACTGTGGTCGGTAAAATTAGTGGTATCACTCTTTATTTCTGAATACGCAGTTATCTGCCATCAAAATCAAGCCGACTTTTCCGACTGATAATACGCTGGCTTCTTTACTAGCGGATCGAGATGAACCTGCGGACTTCCAGGAAGTCTGTTTTCTTCCCTGATCGGCGGCAGTGTCAAACGTTTTCCAAGTGAGCAGTGCGCAGAGTAAAAGGGCATAATTTATTAATTTTTCTAAAAGCGCCATTGGAATTAAACAAGCCCCATAGTAAGATTAGAACAAAGGGGCTTTGGGGTTGTCTACTTTGGTTGAGATAGGGAAGGATTTCGTAAAGACTTTTAAACTGGGAATAACGATCGTCTCCGCCCTGAATTTTTCGCATGTTTTTGGACTTCTTGTGGTAGGTTTACTCCTCGGCCGCAATAATAACGCCCTTATTAAGCATACCTCACAGCGAGGAGTTCTATATTTCCGGATTGTTGTAAGCATTACTCATCGGGCGAACTGACGTGGACGGAGAATCAGAAGATGTTATGTGCATCGCTTCGGGGGCGTGTGCGTTCGTCTTTTTTAGTGAGAAGCAATGTAAGGCTTTCAAGAAGTTTCATGAGAGAATTTACTCCACTAGAAAACAAAAAGGAATGCACGCCTGTTCTCTCATTACTTCTATATGAATTGATGTCGTCTTACCCCTCTTGTCTAATGCAAGTGTCGGTTAACCGGCCGACCTAGTTGTAAAAGAGAATACAGGATTTCTGTTTTGATTTGGAGCTCCGGTCAAGTTCCAGCGAGTAGGCAGTGGTTTGTGAATCATATGGACAGATGCAAGATGGGCTGGTATGGTCCCTTTTGAATTCCCTTCGTCTTTCAGTCAAACTCAACCGCAGGATCGAAGGACCACAACCATAAAGGTGGGTTCACTTGACCACTGATTTAAATATTTTTCAATCCGTTGAAGCACTGGTCCGCGCCCCACCAGATGCCGTTTCATGCCAGCAATTATGCCGCTTGACCCCGGAAACCCTTACTGGAGCCCTCGCAGGAGGTTACATGACGAAGATAAATCAGTAGGTGCTAAAGCGTTTTTCACCTAAAGCGGACCACGCGGCAAATGCGCTGAGCCAACACAAGGGCTAGATCGCAGTCCGGTGCTACCGGAAATGCGCACCCATAACCAATGCCAACATTCGGGGTGCGGTGACAGACCCAGTTGCCGGCTCGCGTCGCTCCACTTGGGATCCCTACTGCCCTCATTGTTGGTCTGGTATGAAATCCTGGTCAGCGTTCGTTATGGACCAGAGGGTGTGGAGGAACGCCTAGGTGCGGTTTTTGGCCGTACCAGCTACCTTAATCCCCTTTTGTCTTCGGTCTTCTTGACCCTGTCCTAGCACTGGGCCCAGGTGGGGAGGAGAGAGCGCGGGAGGTGCTGCTGAAGTCTATCATCACTGTTAACTAATTTGCGCACAAGTCACCATTCCTTCTCTCACCCTACTGTGAAGCACACCTTGGACATCGTTCAAATCAGCAGTCACACGGTCATGTCAGCTGTCAAGGGAAAGTAAGTAAAAACAAAGACACCTTTGCTGATCGCATTCTGCCCTGCAAGTAGGTCAGATCGGGGGGTAACTTACGGGTGGCGTTTTATGATATCGGCCGTAGCGAACAGGAAGCGAGTTTGTGGTACAGTGTTAGATAGTTTGACCCAGCGGTCAAAGTGTCAGGGTTGGAGCACGGGGTCTTTCCAGCCTGAGACTGGGGTATATAAGTCAGAAGTAGTTTCTCCAGTCTAACTTCTCTCTCTCTGTCAATCGGGTTGTCGAATTCATTAGCGCTCATACACTCAGAATAAACACATTCGAGAACATTTTCCATGATGATGGACGATGTATCTTAGAACGTTTTACTCCTCGCAGCATGAGAGCCCGGCCTTTTAGACCTGGCGGCCCATCTGCTGGGCTACGGAGTAAAGGTAAACAATCAAGACACTTCAGTCAGTAAGAGATTGGCTGTCGTAATGTACACGGCGCATCAAAGATATGAACTCTCCATTTTTTGGCACAGTCGGAGCATAGGGAATTACATTTACCGTATACTTATGGAGACCGAAATTCATAGTTGGAATTTTGTACATTTGACGGAGAAACCTTGAGATGATGTGTTTTAATGGAATGCCTATTCTGCTTCTTATCCCGGGAAATCCTAATGGAGGCCTGCTTTGAAAGTGCTATTCTAAAACGCGCTCACGGGACAGACAAAGGGTCATGAACGCCCATGAAACCGTACCTCGCTAATTTCACAGCCTAGACTAGGTGACCCAAATCTTAAGGAGCTTGCAGGACAGTCTGCTGGAACATTAAGAAGATCATCCCGTCCACCAGGGAAGAGGTGGTGTCACCAAGACTCAAGCGGCGGCATAACTGTCCTGCCTTGTATTTTACCATGTAGATCTTGCAACTCGATATAGATGAGTCAGATTTTAATCGTAATTCTCTCTGACATATACCGGCGATACCTGACTGAGAAAGATGGACAGACAGTGAAGAATAGTTCCTTTTTCTGTTATCCTTCGCCGTTTATTTTCTCACGACCTTTCAAATATACTCCCTGTCTTTCATTTTTTCTGCCAGTTTTTTATTTCGTATGTTTTTTACCGAGTTACTTCTCTCACCCCTTACCATGAAACTGATGCCAATTTCATAAATCCCCGCAGACCTTTTTTCCTTTGTCCTTTTTCCCTCTAGTTTTGGCAAACATGCAGTCCTATTGGGTTGTCAGTCTAGTGACCATCCAATCAGAACTGAGGTCGGTTTGGTCGTGCAGTTATTGATTGCAGAGGAGTTCATTGTGGATGTCCGTGTTTGCACAGTCTTGGCGCCCCTGCAAGGATGGATGAGACGGGTCCGACGCCAACTTACATGAAGTGCACGAATTTCATGGAGGAGTCCCTCTGTTTGGCAGCCGCTGAGGGCAAACTGAACAAAATGATCAGGATCCTGCAGGAGCGTGTCGACCCGGACTGTAGAAATGGCGTAGGTTACACGCCGCTGCATTTGGCTGCCCAAGCGGGTCAGTTTGAGGCAGTTAAATTGCTGCTTTGCAATTGGGCCTCACCGGATCCCCTGAACGCCAGTAAGGTGAGCCCACTGCATCTGGCCGCCAAAAATGATCATTACAAGGTTGCCCAACTGTTAATTTTGGTCGGAGCGGATCCCGGCAGGGCCTGTTGGTCTGGCTGTACGCCGAGGGAGTTTGCACCCTTCGACAGCGCGACTCAGCACATGATTGAAGAGTGCCTCAAAGGAAAGTATCCGGATCCTCTGGACGTGTTTGAAATGAAGGGAGAACCTCTTGTACCGGCATTTTCTATACCGGAACCAGATCCGGATACCAAGAAGGCATCCCCGAAGAAAGAGGGAGCAAAAGCGAAGAAGTAGTTGATTTTCGAGGAAGTGGAATGAGACATGCTGCTCATAGTGAGCTACCAAGAGGGGAATGAGATTAAATATGTTTCTTCGAAAGTGCGCTGTCACCTAGGGACCTGAATTGACTAGCAAAGTCTTCAATCACGACGGTTGCCGATTTCATATAATTATTACTACACTTTGACCGTACGCCACGTTCACTGACAACGGAGGTTATGAAGAGCGAAAGCCATCCCTGGTGTATAAATCACCACAATGTAAACTTATGTGGAAATACAAGTTCACCAGTGGCTATTTTGAAGCAATATTTTAAAAAAATTTAGAATTACTGTAGGTCAGATAGTTGCTACGACTCGTATTGCGCCTAAAATATACAGTCCAACTACTAGTTTGTGAAAAGACAACATTGGACTCCTCAACCGTAATGGAGGATATACTTACCACATAGACCTATTTTTAACATTTAATTGTTTTCTAAACTGGCTATATTCATACTTCACTTTACTGAGTCTAACACACTGCAGTGTCCTTCTGCAGCCAAACCTCGCTTCATTTAGCACGCCGCGCATTCCCCACATTGCTGGGGGAAATATTGGAACACCAGTCAACCATGTCCGCCTCTCGACCGATTTTTCGATATAACGAAATAATCTGCTAAAACATCTAGGAAAAACGTTAACAATACCCTGTGCTTGCTCGTATAGAGTGATGCTCAGCGAAAAAAGGATTCCTTAAATGCCTTAATCCGAAGACTTGAAGGTAGAGCCTTGCCGACGGACGTTTGGATTTCCCCGGCCAAATGTCCGTATATGTTGGATTTCGGCTTGTCTAGAAAGGCACGCGGAACCCAAGGAAAATTTGCCTAGAGGGAGTATTACTCCGATTTTAACTCGATTATTCCTCAGTGCTACGGATTGTGTTTCAGAGTACTATAAGTTAGTCTAATCTGATCTAATATATACTGGTTAACTGATAACTAACCAATTGTAATCTTACGTGACGCTTTTTCAATTTTTTCTTACTTGCCGGTAAGTTTTCTTAGATATGTTTAACCAATAGAGGGTTCGGAGGGATTCCTCTATCTTTCCATTAATAAAACAGAATTGAACTGGATAACAATGACCCCTAAACAATACAGTCCAGGTTCCCGTTAAAGGATGACACTCTTCGTGTACGCCAGCGATGCAGTTTGTCAACGCTCCAGCCATATGATGAAAAAGCATGTGCATATGTCCAAATGTGAGATCTGCATTTTGGTGAAGTGTGGCTCTTGCGGACTGAAGGCTCAGTTTCTGAAACACTCAGGTTTCATGCCACCCTAGCCGATGTCGTCAGAGCCTGCGGATTACATTCTCGCTATAAATAAAAAGCCTTCCTTAAAGCTATCATTATACGCTTAAAAACGTGGCCCTGAAGGTTGTCAACCGAGGGGACACCGATCTTTTTCTGAAACGAGGATACAATTATAATGGTTCATTCCTGCTGTGGTCTCTATGGGCCCGCTAACTATCTTGTGTTCGCACACTGCCCTCCTTCTTCAAGGCCGGCTTCCTGTGGTGTCCGGAAGCCGGCAGGCAAACGTAGTTGAGATGTTTGCTTCTTTCGGTCAACACACCCACGCACACCTCCGGTGGTTTTATTTTCGTCCTTAGCTTTAAGCACCCTGGGCGTATTACCAGAGATCGAAGTTGATGCTCTGTGAGGCTGCTCCAGCATAGACAAATTCATGCGCAACTCATCACTGCTCCCCGTCCGGAATCATGGTAGATCTCGTCGTTCGCGACAGCTGAGCTGTCAGTTGAGTATAAGGGAAGTCAGTTTTGCAGGGCTGGCTTGCCCCGAGATTCTGCAACGGTGAGTCTATCTTTGCCTTGGGAGAGATGTGAACTAACAGACAAACAGATATACCTGTGAGCTCGAGGGTATTGCTGCAAGTAGTCTTGTCATTGACTCTAACAAACGTGCCTGAGATCAACTTGATGTGAACGTTTAAATGGCTGACCGACACTATCCTTCGTATTGCGATTGCTTATGCCAACCATCTACGCGAATAATACGGGTAGTGGAGAGGTTAATAAAGGTCATCCCTGATTCTCCAAAGGGGGTGTCGCTTAAAGTCAATACCATACACCTGGTAAGGTATTCACATTAAATTCTGGTGGACTGGACATTATTGTAATCCGATGTATACTGTAGAGTGTGGTGGACAACATACCCAATCAGGACATTTTAGCTTAGCTAACAAGCTAGCACGTTTATCCGAAGTGTACAAAAGGACTAAAAGACGTATCAGAGTCCGTCAACGAGGAACTCTTTGTCGATCAGCAAATAAGCTCATGCTCCTATTGGCGCCTTCCCCATCATGCCTTCACTGTCGTACAATGTGCCTCTGTTTTGCTGGTCACATATACTGCACTGCGAACAACGTGTCTGATAATGGCGAGTCCTCATGGCTAACCGACAAGGGCTACCTGAAGGAATGCATATCCTATTCAGGGTACCTGGTCCCTTGCTGGTAGATGCGCTTGAGCTCCCGGCGGATATACGGGTCGTGAGCATGACTGCCCAGTCATCGTCGTCTTTCCGATCCGTTGTGCTGCTGTTTTTGGCTGAACTCCTTGTAATTTTCTATATGGACCAGGAGTTGTAGAGTGAAGCGCCAAGGTGTGGGCTCGGTGGAGCCATCCGCCTCCCTCTTCTCTGGTCTTCCTGACTTTTTCTTGGCATGGGGTCCAGATGGGGAGGAGCAGATTGTTTGTTAGATTCGACGCAAGTCTGCAATCACTATAAAATAATTTACGCGCAAGTCACCGTGCCAGCTTCTCCTTGCTTTGGTGCACGCGGTCTAGCACGACGGTCGAACCTAACTGAACTCATGGTCGGCAGAGCGTTCCATTAGCTGTCCAAAATGCCCGCTATCCGCATTTTTTCTTTCAGACTTATGGCAGTCGGGACCCTGTTAGGCTGAATGATCATCTTAATAGACGTTGGTTTTAAAAAACATAATGGCCAGAGAGTGCGTGTTCAAATCCCAGGTTATCAAAAATAGGGGCAGTGTACGGTTGACTGACGACGGCTTATGAGCCGGAAATTGCCATCTTAATACCCTTTGACTGTCAGTATTCTTTCCTAAATCGTTGCTGAAAGGGCTCTAGATCAAGCTATAAGACGAAATAGGTCGAGCACGTCCCGTGACCCGATCGATGAGGGCCCTTCCTGCGACAGTAATTGATTTATTCACTAACTCTGCTTTCAGCCAATTGTCTGTTTGCCTTCTAGTTTCACACCCTTTTTCTTGTAGGTTTCAGGCCTGCCTCCCACCACTCCCTGAACTTGTTGGCTCCGAACGTCTCCTGCCTCATCTGATTTCCTGAGACTTCAGTTACCAAACTGGCCACGACAAACATGCCGTTCTGTTTTGTAGCCGTTTTCACCTTGTCACCGTACCATACAGCGGCGGGTCAGATGTCCAGGTATGGACATTGACCTTTTCACTGCTCATATTCGTATCACTGCAAGAGCCTTGCTTGCCGAGTGCATTACAACTAGCCTAAAGTCTGTAGATGTGGTCTAACCGCGCTGTTGGCTTGTGTTAACGTGCTGCTCAGTGGTCTGTCGGCCAAAGTGCATTTCCGACCAAGCGCACCCTTGACACAGCGGCAGCAACAAAGGATGACTTCACGCCATAGACGTACTACACATAGCGCCTGGACGGTATCTTTGAGGGGTCAAAAGTAGCAGAGCCAATGGGAAGGATGGTTTTACAGAGACCCCAAATGTTATATTTTTTCGTATTTGGTTGATGGGACACGAGCTACTTTTGGGAACCTGGAGGAATCAACATTTGCATATATTGCTTTTCGCAGAGAGCATATCCAGTCCAGAAAACGGTCGGATCTTATTTCGTAGCCGAACCTGTTAGGAGTTAGAGTTAAGGGTTGGGGTTTACGGTTAAGGGTTAGAGGCTAAGATTGGGTGTTAGAGTTAGGGGGTCTAGCGTCAACCTCTAACCATAACCTATAACCCCTAACCCCGACCCCTTACCCTAATCCCTAACAGGTACGGCTGCAAAATAAGATCATGTCCAGAAGACACTTGAGATTATTCCTGGAGGGCTTGTAAGCATAAACTCCTATCTCAAAATGAATAAGTCGCTGGCTAAAGTTCTCAGCAGTTTGATCAGCTAGCTCTGTGCAGGTGTCGCTTAATACTTCCTGGATGTCGTTGAAATATGACTGACAGCGGCCTTAAAAATGCTAAGACCGAAATCGTACAAGGGAAAACCCATTTTTTCGAGACTGTACCAGTGGAATAAGGAATTATTTTGACTCTCCAAGGTTAACTACCGGGATTCATGATTATTAAGAGGTGAAAGTTACCAGGAAACGCTAACTGAAATTTTGAAATACGACCTCAGTTGGATATCTACTTAGGTGACATTGTAGCATTGATTATCGTGCAGAATGGCCTCGGTATATTTCATCAACGCCAGGATGGTGGTTTTGGATGAACGTCTTTCCGATAACCAACAAAACGTCCGGGTTTAAAATGACTACTTAATCAGCTTGATTAATTTCCATTGAATTTGGAGCCCTGGTGAATTACAAAGCTGTTTGGAAAGCATGCACCAATGTATCCTTTCTTCCAGTAATTTTGTAGCAATTTACGTCTTCTTCAAATTGTCTTCTAGAAGAAAGAGTAGTTTACGGCTTGAAAGACAGCTAAGTGCCTATTCAACTAATATCGTATCTGTCCGATAATTAATGGTCCTTATGAAGCGTATAAGGTCGGACGTATACATTGCAACATTTTATTAGCCTTATGTATATGCATCCTCTTAGTCGCACAGCGAAAAATGTAATTGTTCTTAAATGGGATGAATGCAACTTTTCTGGGAATGATAAACACAGAAGTAACGGCAAAGTGGATTCAAAATCACTCGCAAGCTAAGAATATTATTCAACTTGAAAGTGCCGGTTTTCCAAGTAAAAGGGCTGAAGATACAATTTACT